AGACTTGCTGGTTGCTCTAGGCAGACAATTAAGCTTCATCTGCATCCCCTTCGCTATGATGACGACATGTCTCAAGAGACTTAGAAGAGCCTAGAGCCTGCAATATAAACAAAGACAGTCATAAATCTGGCCCTTTACTAGGATAATCAACAATAAAAAGCAATTTTGGTCTCACTGAACAATTCCTTCAGATTTAACGACGAACATAGCCACCTGAATGAAAGAAGTGAAACAAAGAAAATGATGTACCTGTGCCTCCATAGGGACCATTTCTCTGATAGCCCTGATTGTTGGGTCGCATTGGACCACCGGCGTAGGTTTGTTGACTTCCATAATTGCCGAAACCATCCCCCATCGCACCCCATTGATCAGTACCTGTACTCCCTCCGCCCATCTGTCCACTCCAGCCACCTTAAAGGATAAGTCGAGATATGCAACTCACTCATTCCCGTACCACCACTCATCGAATTATACCCAGTGCCCCAACTATTGCCGTAGGCAGCGTACCCGGCACCCATTTGAGGGTATGCCGTTCCATTATAGCCATTGTTGTAATTTCCATTGTAATCATTGTTGTATCCACCACTGTAGCCATCATATCTGGCCTCCTGTTTTCTTCTCATTTGATTCATCTGCTCTTTGCTAAGAGCCTTCTTCACGTCAGCCCTGCTAGCTCCTATGAAATGAGGCTTGTACAATATCGCCTTATCGACAGCATCATAGTCGTCGAAGGTAACAAATCCAAATCCTCGACTCTCACCGGATTCTTTGAGCTTGACAACTTCGCATTCTTTTATGGTGCCGTACTTGACGAAGTAGTCATTGAGGTCCTCATTAGTGACCTCTTTTTTAAGCCCACCAACGAACAGCTTAGACACGGTCATATGAGCCTCCTGGTTTTGCGAGTCCTCACGGGGCATAGCCCTTTTCGATTCGACAGTCTTTCCGTCAATAGCATGAGGCCGATTTAACTGGGCAGCATCCACCATCTCAGGCTCTTTGTATGTAATAAAGCCAAAGCCCTTAGATCGACTAGAGCGTTTATCTTTCATGACGACGGCATCAACAATTTCCCCCCATTCTCCATAGTATTCTCTCAACTTCGATTCTGTAGTTTGAGGATTTAAACCGCCGATAAATAGCTTGCGAAACTGCTCAGTCGTTCTGTCATTAGGCTCAGGGTTCCTAAACATGTAGAGTCAAAAAGGACCCTTGATCAAATCGATAAAGCGTACAATTAAACAACGTATCAGTTAAATATAATAAATAAAAAATTAACGTCAAAATTAACAAAAAAAACTTGAATATTAAATATAATCTTAATGATAATTAACATTAGTCATTTTTGCAAACGTTAATGCCTTCTAGCTTGGAGTTTCACGTATAATTGAAGATATTGTTAGGAGAACTTTCATTTTAAATGAAAGTGAATGAAGAAGAGATTCATTGGTCGATCTCACCAGATGATGACGGATTAATCTCGTTGTACTACAGCCGTTTGGCTTTTATATGATATTCATTTTGCGGCAGTCCACAAGTCTTCCTTCCTCTTTTCTGGTGAAAACGTACTTAGCCTTCGTCCATCATCTGATGGACATCATCATAGCTGTGTTTCATTTTTGTAAGAGTCTAACGTTAAGACTAAGCCAAGAACACTATCCGGCTCTATCTTACTTCTTATATAGACTCAATTGAGCCAAATGAAAATAAAAGACCTAAATAGCTCTATATAAAGTGGTTTGGTTAATTTTCAACATACTGGTC